TTTAGAATTTCATTTAGGATTTAAATAAACTGAACAACAAGTAAACTCCAGTAAGAGTATATTTAAAATGTATTGCACAACAGTAAACAAATATAACTTTTCAGAAAGGAGATACACTCGTCCAGTTCCGGGATGTATATCCAAAAATACAGATATTGTACTGAAAATAGTGCACCTCTCCAATATGCTTCAGATCACTTTCCGTTAGCCAACAAAATATCCTTTTTTGTTCCTGACTTTGTTGGTACTTTTACATGCTGGATTGAGTAGGTTCGATACCCACTTACCCAAGTACTTGTTGATTCATTCTGTAATTTCTTCTGCAAAATGGAGAAATTAATTAGTAGAGACATATGAAATATCTAAACATTAATCAGCTAATCAGGAAATAACGAATCTAAGGATAATAATATATTAGTAATTTTTATTTATTTCAATACATTATTTATAGATTTTGTGAGTAGTAGTAAAATAATTAACTAATATATGTGGTGCCGAACTTGTACTAATATAAATGAACATTTAGTTGGCTAAATTTACAGAGAAGCCTGTAATTATTTATGTAATTGTATAATTTGCAGTAAATAGTAATATTAGATAATATAAAAGTAAATTATATATGTAAAATATCACCTTTAAATTTAATAAATGTCGAGAATATGGATGGCACAACCATACGCAACGAAGCTCACACTTTAAATATAAAGGTTATAAATAAATATTTAGGTTATGTTTTGGTATATTGCTTTCGTTTGAATTAAGATTGCATAGAGATCACTGAAGATGGCGCCACTCGATTTTCAAATTTGCGAGGGCACGCAAATATCCCCATAAAAAGAAATCTAATGGTGTTAAATCACAAGATCTAAAGGGCCAAATCTGATCACCGAAAGGAGAGAGTACACGACTAGGAAATGTCTCTTGCAGTTATTGAATTGTATCACTGTATGGCATGTGGCATCATCTTGTTGAAACCACATTTCGTCTATATCAATATCATCCAACTGGGGCAGAAATAAGTGTGTTATCATGTCGCGATATCGAGCACCAGTAACAGTCACTGCTTGACCTTCCTTATTTACAAAAAAGTATGGTCCAATGATGCCTCCAGCCCAAAATCCGCACCAAACAGTGACACGCTGTGGATGCATTTGTTTTTCGACAATCACATATGGGTTCTCCGGACCTCAAATGCGGCAATTTTAGCGATTAACAAAGCCATCAAGGTGAAAATGTGATGTGATGTGATTTTGCTCGAAAAATCAGCATCCACTTATTGATGCTCAATATTTACTAACCTTAAACTTTCAGCTGCCCAATTGTCTATTTTTTGGGGTTGCCAAAACTTTACTGCAGAAAAGACAGCAAATTCAAATCTTTCGTTAATTTTGGGACACCCTATATCAGAGGTTCCCAAACTTTTTTGTATCGTAGACCCCTTGCCATGTTTTTCGGTTTTGGGTAGACTCCCTACTTACCTGATATTGATTTTTTTGTAAATTTCTAACTGTAGTGAAGTTTAGTGTTAAAAACTTAAAGTAAAAATATTTATTAAAGTAAAACTACTCAAAATAAAATTTTATATCTGTTATATAAAATAAACTAAGCAATAAGTAAATGTTTTTAGTGAGAAGAATGAACCTGATGCTATAATAATAAATTATCAACATTTGGCGTCAATATTGTAAGGTTTAATCTTAAATCTTCTCGGCTAATGATGTCCTGTCTGTTTATTTTTTTCGTTAGGAGATTGGTAACAGCACTGAACCCCCTTTCCATTAGGTATGACGATGGAAAGGAAATTAAAAAATTCCTCGCTATATTCCATAATTCGCTATATTCCAGGTTTTTACAAGTTCCAAATGTATTGCGTCCACAAAGCGAATGCCTACATCCTACAACTTACACAATTTTATAAACATGTATAATATTTTTTTTACTTTATAGGAACTTTTATAAATAATGTATGTGTCTTTACATTATATTTATTTCCGCCCCATTGGTCTACACCGCTGCCCCAATTTCCAAAAACTATCATTAATTGACAAATTTTATTTATTCGAAAAGGTAGAAAAAACAATCATTTTTATTAATTTATGCATTTCCAACATCAATCCTCTTAAATAGAAGATCATAAATATTGTTAAAAATCTCCAATTAAACCTACAAATAATTTATACAGAGATCTGAAGACTATCGTTGCCTTTCAAATATGTATGTATGCTTCCAAAGATTGGAATTCTTATAAAACAATTTACGTGATTAAGAACGTTTACGATTCGCATTTTTTTGGTAAAGGTCACTTTAAAAGGCTTCTCGTTTTTGCCGCGCCCGAATTGGAGTAGTTATTTTTGGAAAGGTTAATGGTATAAATATCAAGTGGTCTTTTTTTTTGCTCGATTCAAATAAGATTACTTTTTTGAATCGTTCATTTTAATTAAATTATTATTTCTTTTTTATACAGTTCGTTTGTTATTATATACATGGTTTTCAGTAGTAGGCCTTGGCGAGGACTGGGGCGGAATAGCCGTAGGCCGGAGCGGAGTATCCGTAAGCTGGGGCGGAATATCCGTAGGATGGGGCGGCGTATCCGTAAGCTGGGGCGGCGTATCCGTAGGCCTTGGCGACGACTGGGGCGGCAGCGTAGTGGGCGAGTTTAGCTACTGGGGCGGCGTAGGCCAGCGGAGAGTGAGCGTAGGCGACTGGGGCGGATACGCTGGAGTAGGCCACGGCTGGGGCGGCGGAGTAAGCTACCTTGGCGACGACTGGGGCGGTGTAAGCTACTGGAGCAGCTACCTTGGCAACGACTGGGGCGGCTACAACTTTGGCGATTGGGGTCTTGCTGACGACGGCGTTGAATCCGTTGATCGGGTCGGCGGTGTAGTCTACGGTCCTCTTGGTGCCATCAGGATCTACGAGAGAGTATTGTCCTTGGACGACGTCTCCGCTGCGGGTTTCGTGTTGGCTCTTGCTGTCTCCGGTCAGAGCATCCTCGACGCCGTACGAGTAGCTGTACTGAGGGTTCGGGTCGTACTCTTCGCTTACCACCTTAGCAACCAATGGGGCGGTTGCTACCTTGGCAACGACTGGGGAGGTGTAAGCGACCGGGGCGAGGACTCCGGCTCTGGCGACGGCCAGAAGGGCGGCGAAAGCGACGAACTACCAAAGAATTAATGAATTAAACAAATTATTTATTTACCCTTCAAGGGGAAAACTTACTTTAAAGGCCATCTCGTAGTGTTTCCTGTGTATCTAACAGTGAACTGATGCTGGATCATTGGAAACGTCCAGCTTATATAGGTCGCTCCGCGTCGCGTTTCCTATTTGATCCTCACCAATGGTAAACCACACCCAAGGAAGGTCACCGGACGCGCCACCACCACCTAAACATGTTTTGTTTATTTTTTTTTCGTTTTTTCATTCCTTCGCTCCTTTTATTTCATCCGTTGGTGGCAATCCGCAGAAGCCATCCATGGACACGACAAGAACACCAACGAAATTAACAAGCATACAAGAAAAAAAGTAAAGTAGTTTACACACACACACAAGTCGTCGTTACACACCGAAAACGAATAAAGGAATTTCCGTGTTCTCCTCCGCCTCTGACCTTAACCGTTCACGAAATTAATTCTCGATCAGAACAGCGACTGCGACAGCAGTAAACCGAGTTCGCTCCTAATTCTTTCATCGTTTCGTCTGACGTAATCCGGTCGTCACTTTTGCCATACGAAACGCTGCACTTGCATCCTTTACATTTCAATTAGGAATTCGTTCATTTTCATTTGTACGCTGATGCAATTCGCCTCCATCAACATTCTACCGAAATAATTCAACTCATTACATTTACACAAAGACCTCGCTTTTTTTTTTCATATATACTCTTACTTTTTATTTATGTTTCTCTTGTAATACATTAAATTAATTTACACACAAAAAAAATGTTGTTAATTACAAATTTCTGTGAAGAAATTGAAAGTGAGTTCTGAAAAATTTCGTCGTTGTCTTTCATCAAAATTCCCGATTAATGTATGAAATAATACACCAATATTAAAAATAATGATAAAACTTACTTTCTATAACAATATATAAAAAAAAACTTTCAGCTGCCCAATTGTCTATTTTTTGGGGTTGCCAAAACTTTACTGCAGAAAAGACAGCAAATTCAAATCTTTCGTTAATTTTGGGACACCCTATATAATACGTTAATCGATTAAGAATTGGAATAGTTATTTTTGCAATACATGCAATACATTAAATTAATTTACACACAAAAAAAAAAAATTTGTTATTAACAAATTTCTGTGAAGAAATTGAAAGCGAGTTCTGAAAAATTTCGTCGTTGTCTTTCATCAAAATTCCCGATTAATGTATGAAATAATATACCAATATTAAAAATAATGATAAAACTTACTTTCTATAACAATATATAAAAAAAAACTTTCAGTTGCCCAATTGTCTATTTTTTGGGGTTGCCAAAACTTTACTGCAGGAAAGACAGCAAATTCAAATCTTTCGTTAATTTTGGGACACCCTATATAATACGTTAATCGATTAAGAGAGGAAAAGCGGCGAAAGACTCTCAATTGCCAAATACTACCATTAATTGACAAATTGAATTTATTCGAAAAGAAAATTGAAGTAGAAAAAACAATAATTTTTATTAATTTATGCATTTCCAACATCAATCCTCTTAAATATAAGATCATAAATATTGTTAAAAATCTCCAATTAAACCTACAAATAATTTATATGGAGATCTGAAGACTATGCTTCAAAGATTGGAATTCTTATAAAACAATTAAAGAACGTTTACGATTCGCATTTCTTTTGGTAAAGGTCACATTAAAAGGCTTCTCGTTTTTGCCGCGCCCGAATTGGAGTAGTTATTTTTGCAATACATGCAATACATTAAATTAATTTACACACAAAAAAAAAATAATTTGTTATTAACAAATTTCTGTGAAGAAATTGAAAGCGAGTTCGTCGTTGTCTTTCATCAAAATTCCCAATTAATATAAGAAATAATACACCAATATTAAAAATAATGATAAAACTTACTTTCTATAACAATATATGAAAAAAAAAACCACTTGCAAATCAGCAAAGTTCAAAAATAATTGCGTAAACTTTTTCGATTCGAAACTCCCGTTCCAATTATTTCATTATTTTTTTTTATTTGGTTTTGAGCACATATTTTCGAAGTACAAATACAAACAACAACAAAAAAAAAACGCAATTATTTTCATGCAAATCGGATTTGGCCCAGCCTATAATGCGTTCGTATATACAGAGTGGCCCAATTTAACTGCAACTTACTAAAAAGTGCTATAACTTTTGAACCGTTGGTAATGTTGTGTCCATATTTCGCTTAATGATAGCTGATTTTATTGTTTACAAGTCTATGGAAGTATTTGAATCTCAGTTTTTTTGGAAAAAAAGTTATTAGTGGTGGAATTCAAACGTAATAGTGTGATAGCCCAATATTTGAAATATTTCGTATATCAAAGCATAACACGTTTTACTGATGCTAGTATTGTTAAAAAATGCTATTTTGGTGGTTGAAAAATAACTACATCTGTGGTAGAAGTGATTCGGAAACTTAAGGCTCGAATTGTATGAAATTCTCGACGCAGTGGAAGACAAATGGTAAATGGAAAATAACCATAACAAATACTCAAAATTGAACTCAAAGTGAAGCCTTACAAGTTCCAAAAAGGACAAGATTTCACCAATGTTTATAAAAAACTGGGCTCGATAGAGCGAATTAGTTGTTGCTCTTGCACGAACGCGGCCAATTGCCAAATATCGTCTTGTCTGATGAGAAAAAATTCCCAATTGAGAAATTCGTAAACAAACAAAATGATCTAATTTACTTAGAAGAGAGATCAAACAAAAACTTGGACATTCCAATGGCCACAAGAAGTCAGATACCACCGTTTTTGGTAGTTTGGGAGTCTGTGACAGTCGATAGTCGCTCTCTTTTGGTGTTTTTGGATCGTAGTGTCAAAGTTAATGCGAATTGTTAGGAAAATGCATATGACGGAGCACTTATATGCTGGACCATCAACAGAGGGCGCTGCTTGGACGGCCATTACCAACTGCAGGACTTACATCACCAACTGTCTATATACTATAGACTATAAAGTATCGAATATATATCAATACAAAGTCCTTATTAGTGTTGTTTCACTCGATACCCTGACCTTATTTCTAAGTTTTGGAAGGTGCTTTGAAGCCGTGGATAACTAACATTTCACTCAGAAAGAGTGGACATTTCAAGAAGATTCTATGGGTCATTTTACAGGCCAATGTCTACACTAAAAAATACCAAAGTATTAATGTGTTCAATTAAGCCCTTCTTCGTGAATGGAGGAAGATTCCGCAAGTTCACATTCGTGCAGCATGTGACTCATTTATCGACAAACTGAGAGCTATAGTTTGCACTCAAGGCGACAATATCGAAAATTTGAAGTGAATTCAAAAAAATTAATTGTTTTCCAACATTTTTTTTACTTGTAGTTCAACAAAATCCAATTTCAAATAAAAAAAATACAGCGTTCTGAAAAATTGCAATTCAATTGAACCACCCTGTACATGCGAATCAGACGATTCTATTGATTTTTTTAATTCATTATTCTCTTTATATTTTTATTTTTTTCACTATGAAATCGCGTTTCATTTATTATTTTTATATGCCGTTGTTTTTTTTTCACTCGTTATATTTCAGCAAAACTTTCAAAATTTAATTACGACATATATATTTAATTATTTTGTTTTAATTTATTTGTAATTAAAATTTCAAACGAATGCGTTTACATTTTAATTGGAACACGTATTTATTATATATTATTCCTATATATTTTTTTTCATTTTCTAAATATTTGTTCAATTTGCTGTAATTATTGCACATTATTTACTGAAACGTTTCCATGAATTACGAATAAATAAATATTGAAAGGCAACGAAAGTTTTCAGAACTCGCTTTGAAGTTCATTACAGAAATTTGTTAATAAGTTTGTTTTTGTGTGTAAATTTAATGAAAAGCAACAAATGTTTTCAGAATTCGTTTCAAAAATTATTGCACATTATTTACTGAAATGTTTCCATGAATAAATAAACACCGAAAGGCAACGAAAGTTTTCAGAACTCGCATTGAATTTGTTAATAATAATAAAAAAAATAGTTTCTTTTTGTGTGTAAATTAATGTTTTCAGAATTCGTTTCAAATTCATACTTTAAACAGTTTTCATCAAATTCAATCAATATCTTAAAATTTCTTTACTTGAAAAAGTGTACAAAATCGTTTTCATAGATACATGACACAATTTAAGTTAATTTCGAAACAATATTGAAACACGTACGTAAAGTTTCAATGATTATTATAAATACATAAATTCAAGTTTGTTTCCTGTGCACCCTCGAATTTGCATCTGAATTCAATAGATGTAATGTGAAATGCATTACGCGCATATCGTGCAAATTAGTTGCAGGTATTGTTGTAAACTGTTACCCCAAACTTCGGTTTTCGTAATATTATTAGCGTGTCTTTGTGTGGTGATGGTGCAGTTCGGATCGTCGATCGATACGAATTACATCATTTTCGAATCTATTGTGCATTGAGAATTTCCCGGAAACGCTAGTAAAGTTCTCTCATCTCATCTCATCGAGTTTCCAATTTACTCCACAAAAAAAAATGCTTCATCTACAACAAATAATCGAAGATGGGCGAGTCCTGAAAAAGATTTATTTTGAAGGAAGAAACGAATAATTTTGCTGTTTTTGTTCAGATCAGTTTATTATTATTTTTTATGTACAAGTCCTGGTTGTTGCTTGGTTGTCGGTGTTCTGTTTTGCTGTTTTCTATATGAATTTAGAAGGCAACTGGGTATGTGGTGTAGGGGGATGCTGCGTACGGTGAAAGGAACCTAGGTGAGGTGAAAGCTACCGGAGCTGCAACGTTGGTGACGAAGGGTGAGTTGTACGCAACTGGGGCGGCTACCTTGGTAACGTATGGGGCGGAATAGGCGAATGGGGCGGGAGCTGCTACCTTGGTAACGTATGGGGCGGAATAGGTGATTGGTGCAGGAGCTGCAACCTTGGCAACGAACGGGGCGGCGGAATAGGTGATTGGGGCGGCTACTTTAGCAACCACAGGTGAGGTGTAAGCGACTGGGGCGGCGACAGGTGCAACAACCGGGGCGGGAGCAATGATCTTGGCTGGGGCGACGGCGACGGGAGCAGCCACCTTAGCTACGACTGGCGCTAAAGGAGCTCTGCTCACGACGGCGTTGAATCCGTTGACGGGGTCAGCGGTGTAATCGACGATCCTCCTGGTGCCGTCCGGTTCTACCAGAGAGTATTGGCCTTGGACGACGTCTCCGTTGCGCGTCTCGTGCTGACTCTTGCTATCTCCGGTCAGAGAGTCCTGGACGTCGTAGGCGAAAGTGTATTGAGGATTGGGATCGTAGTCGGCGTCGCTAAGTTTTGCGGCGACGGCGACGTTGGCAACCGGTGCCAGGACTCCGGCGCGCGCCACTGCGACGACGGCAACCATGACGACGATCAACTGCAAAATAAACGACTATTTGTTACTACTTCTTCACCCCCTACATTGTCACACACTAATTCACTTAATCCAACTCTACTTTTCACTTTTCCCCGTCCAAAACACTATTTCTCTACCGTACAAACTCTAGAAAAACCAAATAAAATGCGCACTTACTTTGAAAGCCATTGTTTGGTGTTCTTGTTGATGGGTAGACAATGCTCGATTGACTGATGAACATTCGACCACAACCAACCGTTTTTATACACAATTTCATAATTACTTCAAAAGCGTCGATCCTCTTCGCATACTAATTCATTGAAAACCCGAATTCTACTACAACCACTACAACTACTGTTACTACTGCAGAGTAAAACTAGTACACGCGGCAAGTGCACTTCATCGCTGTACAGGAGGTCGCATTCTTAATTAATATGGGCGACGCGCGTCTCCTTTACACAATCCACACTGACATATTTAATAACGTATTCCGGACGACTACGAATTTATATTATATTAAATTTCGAATAGCTCTCGAAATATTTTCGAAAATTTCACAACGTCCTAGAAAAAAAAAACAACGAAAATAACGACAAGGACAACACGTGCACATCCTCCGTCTGCATCAAAATGTGTAACAGTCAAAAAACAATTAGTAAGTTTGACTACTCTAATTAATCTTATAGACTCAAGCTATAATAAATGCTTATTACTAAAATTGTAACTATTACCATTTTCCAATAATTTCCAATCAATGATAAAAAAAAACATCTTTTGAAGACTCAAAAATTAAGTTTCAACTATAACTCAATAACCACTCATACTAACTACTTGCATCTTAATTGCTAAATTAGTAACTATTACAATTTGCCTGTAATTCCAAGTTGAAATATTTTGGATAATTTCACCACGTCCTAGAAGAAACGAAAATAACAACAAGAATAGTCAAAGAAATCATTTCAAACATATAACAATTAGTAAGTTTGACTACTCTAATTAATCTTATAGACTCAAGCCATAATAAATGCTTATTACTAAAATTGTAACTATTACCATTTTCTTATAATTTCCAATCAATGATAAAAAAAAAAACATCTTTTGAAGACTCGAAAATCAAGTTTCAACTATAACTCGACAACCACTCATACTAACTACTTGCATCTTAATTACTAAATTGGTAACTATTACAATTTGCCTGTAATTCCAAGTTGAAATATTTTAGGATAATTTCACCACGTCCTAGAAGAAACGAAAATTAACAACAAGAATAGTCAAAGAAATCATTTCAAACATAAAACAATTTGTAAGTTTTAGTACTCTAATTAATCTTATAGACTCAAGCCATAATAAGTGCTTATTACTAAAATTGTAACAATTACCATTTTTCTAAAATTCGCTGTCAATGTTGAAAAAAAAAACGTTTGTTTTAACATTCGAAAATCTAATGTCTTCACAAGCTACAATATATTTTGCCAGATTTATAACTATTACCATTTTCCTGAAATTTAAATTTGAAACAAAAATGTTTTTTTTTTAAAGCTAGGAAATCGAGTGTCACGTATTCGACTATAATTCAAAAACCACTAATGCTAATTATAAGAATGAGTGCTCTATATGAAGCCATATGTTCAGGCTTTAATTTGAGTATATTATCAAATTTATAGCTCTTGTAATTTAACTATGTAATAAATATAGTTTTTTAATGAATTCGTTTGTCGCGTGTTGCGACCGCAAGACACCAATTAATGCGTGTCTTCGGCGATAAAATCTACGGCACGAATTTCTTTCCGGCGTTCGTCCGTCCTTGCCATCACCGTGATTCGTCCTTGTCGCATAAGTTCGAAAGTGTTCCATTGCAAATCGGATAATCGCAAACAAAATAAATAAATTAAAGAAAAAAATTCGCCAATCATTCTCCTGTTGTCTTGTCTTCACCGTTCATCGAACATTTGATCCATTTCAATTTATTGGGTCAATATGTTCGTAAAATACAAATCATGCACAATTCGGGACATCTCTTCTTCTCGTCATTCGTTAAGCCAGGTTTCACTGTATATAATACTTTTGCTATCCGAACTTATTTACTTTTATTATAACTTGTAACTTGTCGATTTCGCAACTATATAGGATAAATCATTAGTGCGATAATGCACACAATCTTGTTTCCACTTCGGTCATGTTCTTGGAACGACAAGGTACAATTTGTCTTTTGCGATAATAACACGCCTATCGACCACCCGGAATATCGATGCTATATATTCTCTTTTTGTTTTTATTGTGTTTTCTCTGTTTGCAAGATTTCATTAGAAGCGACCTTCGATCCTCGCGCAAAAGAATTCAGCGAAGATCGCGACACGCATATCGATGATATGCGAAGAATGCTTTGCAAAACAACGCGTTCTTATGTTCCGTTCTTCTCTTCTCTTGTTTTTTTTCCCTCTATCATTCGCGGTGACTTGGATCGCACACCACCGAGTATGATGATTCGATGTGTGCTGTTGTTGTTGTTGTTGTTCCCTCAAGCCCAAAGTTCCACCATATATCACGCATTAAAAATGCATAAAGGTCTTCGTTTGCGTTTCGCAAAACAAGTACATAATTTTTGCTGCGTGGCACATATTTATGGCCGTTATCCGTCCTCGCTGTTTACGCCCTTTCATTCCATTCTCCTCTTCTCTTCCTCCGATTCTCGCAATGTATGTTTGTTTTACGATGTCTTTAATTGCCGAGATAAAAGAGCGCAACAACATTCGATTGAAATGTTTACTTTTAAACTTAATTTGCAGTTGAAACGACGCTCATAAACAATGCTTCCATGCAAATTACATCTTTTGTTTCCTCTGTGCGACATCTTTCTCTTTACAATATTGTTTTGTTCATTAATCACCATGGTTACACTAATTACTGTTTATCTGGTTTGATAAATATTTGAAAAATTTGAAAAAATAATCGATAATTTCATAACTTTACAACAATGCATTGATTTTTTCCTTATTTTAAGTATAATTTCATCAATTTTAATAGGAAAATACACTTTTTAATTGTCTCCTTAAATTAGGCTTATTCTTTATAGTTTTAGTTTTATTTCAAGTATAAATACAAAGAAGTAATATTCATAGTTTTCGAGAAATACACTAACATTTTAAGACATTTTAACAACAATTAGTTCAATTTTAATAGCAAAATACAAGAAATCTATAACGTTTTTCATTGTGCCATTAAATTTAACTAATTCTCTATGGTTTCAGTTTGAATTTATGTATAAATAAAAAGATATAACTTTCATATTTGTTGAGAAATACACTAAAATGTAAAGACATTGATGTTTCCACATATTAACAATAATTAGTTCGCCATGGTTACACTAATTGCTATTCATCTGGTTTGATAAATATTTGAAAAATAATCGATAATTTCATAACTTTACAAAAAAATTTCATATATAAATAGGTGCGCAATTAAACGAACTTTAATATTCAGTAAATGAAAATGTAAATTTTTTTATAGTTTTCTTGAAAAATCACGGAAAATATATTTGAAAAATTGGAAAAATTAACCGATTTTTTCTTAACTTTACAAAAAAAAAATGATATAACAATATGCGTGCAATTAATATGTAATAAATAAAACTTTTATAGTTTTGAAAAATTGTCAAAAACTAATATTCTTAATTCAAAATATACTAAACGGTATGTGGAATTGAATTTGGAAGAGTTTGCTGTAAATGGTGTTAGAAATTTGCAATTGATTAAAAATCGTGTTATGGATTTTAATATGTTTGTAATTGGGTTGAAGAAATGAATTTATTTTTGTAACGGTGATTGGTGAAATTTATTGTATCAAGTCAATTTTTTGGTGCGTCGGTCGTTTACAAGGTGGCGTAGCTGTACTTGGAAAGTACTGGACTCTTGAAGATGATTGGTGCGTTGGCGACTAATGGTGCTGGTGCTACGAACTTGGTGACAACTGGTTTTGGCGCTACGAACTTAGCGGCTACGAACTGCTGTGGTTGCGGTGCCACGAATCTAAACTGCTGTTGAGGTTGAGCGAAGAATCTGGCGTCCACGAACTGTTGGGGAGCGGCTGCTACGACTTGTTGTGATGCTACGAACTTGGTGACGACTGGAGATGGCGCTACGAACTTGGCGACTACCGGGGCCGGTGCTGCTACGTACTTAGCTGCTACTACTGGTGCGACTGGGGCAACGAACTTAGCAGCTACTACTGGAGCAACTGGTGCTGGAACTACCGCTGGTGCCTTCCTGACGACGGCGTTGAATCCGTTGATCGGGTCGGCGGTGTAATCGACGATCCTCTTGGTTCCGTCGGCTTCGAGAAGTGAATACTGTCCATAGACGACGTCTCCGTCTCTGGTCTCCACTTGGCTCTTGAAGTCTCCGGTCAAGGAATCTTGAACGTCGTAGGCGTACGAGTACTGCGGGTTAGGATCGAACTCCGAGTCGGCGAGTTTCGCTGAGACGGCTACTTGAGCGACGGGCGCTACTACTCCGGCACGTACGGCGGCTACGACCGCGGCAAACACGAACAACTGAAGAACGAAACAAAAAGCGATGTCATCAAATCATCTTCTTAACTGTGCAGATATTATGTTATTATTTTCTTACCTTCGATGCCATTTTTCTCCTTGCTTTGGACTGTTTGGACAGTTGTCAATTGACTGATGCCTTTCGTCGTCCCCTCGGCCACCTTATATACATACACGTACCCCCAATTCGATGCATCATAGTTTCATAATTATCG